AGCGTTAATTGTGCCTACGCAGTACTGTATATTTGCAGCATGAGATAAGTGTTAGACCCAGAAAATTTGGAATAAGATTTGGTGATGCCACTACTGTCCTAATCACTGTTCTTGCTAGAGGTTCTGACTAACAAAATGGTCATTTCAACACAGAGACACAGTGGAGAACAAGACATGATAAGTCATTAATGGGGAAAAGATCAGCTGCAGGAAGACCACAGACAATATAGGTGCAGGGAGAGACTGAAAGAGAAGGAGGTATGCTGAAGAGCTGAACTAGGCTGAGGAGTTGGAGAGAGCAAGAGCAGAAGAGCCTACTAACTACCCGTTCTGCCACACTGCCCTGAAGGCCAATCTGACAGCAGACCAGATGGGGGATGCTGAGTCTGAGCCAGAGAGTTCATGGACTGACCCCATTTGCAGAGAGAGAGAGAGAGAGAGAGATGGACTGATGCGATCTGCTGGGCTACTTAATCAGATGAAAAGAGACCCATGCATCCACTAACCAAGTGAAATACTGACAGTTTGCCACCCCAGCTATCTACATACACATAGTTGTGAACAGTACATATAATTGCTTCAGTTTGCGGCCTAGTTCTCGCAGCTGCCATCATTGAGATACATTTGCAATGCAGTTTCTCGTACAAGCCGATTGCAGGACATGGATACAGCAGTGTCCACTGAAACAACAAGTTTCCAATCCTCAACAAAGCAGGATTCCTGTTACTGTTATCTTTTCCCTTTGATGTACAAAAGGAGCTGTCTTTGTCTATAGACATTTATGGCAATTATTGCTATTCATTACTTCAAGCCTGCCCCATGTTTAGTGCTTTAATGGGGACCCTGCCTTAATTTGCTACCATCAAGAGGAAAAGTGTTAATCCTCCCCTTGTTCCTTTACTAACTCTGTGTCATCATCTAAAGGAACTATATCTCACACCTCAGCTCAACTTTATATCAACTGGGCCCCAACGAGCGTGTAGAAGATGTTGTTTGTGTTCATAAAGGGACAGTGCTCAATTTCAAATGAGAATTCGCTTTTCTTCACATTTAATCCTTGTCATCTAGTGCTGAGGACCCACAGTGAGCTTACCTGTTTCTTGATAGTTGTTTTCTGTGTGAGTTCATTTTGCAGTCATGATTTACTTTGGTAAAGAGAGCACAGTGATGTCAGCAGAGGTTTGGCTTTCAACAAAAAGTTCAGATTGACAGAGAACCCAAAACAATTACTAAGCAACCTTTAAGGGGTAGTGCTACATTGAGAAAAACTAATATAACTGCTTTGATTAATAAAAATGGTCAGCAAGCCCTGAAAACTTACAGCGGAGAGTGAAATGTCCTTCTGGGTGTAATCTGTTTGAAACTGAGCTCATACAGCATATAGATTTGAACATTTTCACTGAATAACCAGATTGGTATTTTCCCTTTCCTGAACAAGGCTCTTTTTGCATTAAAAAGCCTGTTATAAAACTTGGCAATTCAAACCAAGTAGTTGATAAAAATGCATAAGTAGAGGTTACCCTCAGTGAAAAGCACTGAAAAAAAAATATGTATGCAAATTTAAACATGTAAAAGCTTAGCTTGGAACTGTCTTTCTATTTGGCCACCCACCATATAAAGCAGTGGTCTCCAAACTGTGGCCCAGGGGCCGGATGCGGTCCTTTGCATGCTTTTATCTGACCCCTGGGGCACTTTTCCTCCCACTGATAGAAGACACTATTCCTACTGACACCAACAATGGGGCATAATTCCTGCTACGGACATCAACAACCGGGCACTATTCCTCTCATTGATACCAACAATGAGGCACTTTTCCTCTCGCTAACATCAATGATAGGGCACTATTCTTCCCACTGACACCAATGATAGGGCACTATTCCTCTCACTGACACCAATGATGGGGCTCTATTCCTCCCATTGACACCAATGATGGGGCTCTATTCCTCCCATTGACATCAATCAATAATAGGGCACTATTCATTCTACTGACATGAATGATAGGGCACTATTCCTCCCACTGACACCAACAATGGGGCACTATTCCTCCCACTGATACCAACAATGGAACACTATTCCTCCTGGTGACACCAACGATGGGGAGCTATTCCTTCCCCTAATACCAAAAATGCATTGTTTGCTCCCACTGATGCCAGGATAACCTCTGATCCCGATTGTGACGGAACGCGGTGCCCAACCATTGCCCTTCTCACCAACTCGTGACAAAGGACCAGCGAATCTCACACTGCGCTTTCACTTGCGCAACAATGCCACTCTCAGCTGCACCCTGCACAAAGATTTCCAGCTCACGGGACCAATCTTGTGTGCCACCATCCTGAGGAGCGATTGTAACTGGGTTAGGTTAATTACGCAATTAACCCTTCACACTGCCACCACCACCTTTTTACAGAGAAGGAGGAAACTCACAAATCTTAGCAATAACACTATGATAGTAGCATAAGCATCTGCAATACACACTGTCACCACAAATAGGTATATTCAGAGGATTATTACATACAATAGCACTTTTCAAGAGACAATAATTCTTTAGTTTGCATTAAAAGCTTTAGAGACAGTTTCAACACTTTTCAAAATAGGGTTTATTACTAAAAAGGTCAAAATGGTGCAATTAAAATATTTACAGAAAAATATGTTACAAAGACATAAAGAGAAGCAAACAGAGAGATAAAGCAACAGAGAAATAAAAGAAAGGAATTAAGAAGGCAGAATACTTGCAAAGTCCTGTTTTAGCAGAGTCCAATTGTCCGAGCAAAAATGATTGCCTTGGCTATCAAGTCCATTAAGATGTTTCTTGATTGATGTTAAATGAGAGCTCCCTTCACCAGGCCTGTCAGCCCTTTTCTATGATATTAAAGGGGTGTCGCCTGAGGACAACTGACTAATCATCCGGTTTAGGGGATGGGTGCTAGGAGTTCATCAAGTTTATAACCAAGTCCCAACTACAATTTCATACTAATATTAATAACCTCCAGTACATAGGTGGTATTCTAGCAACTGGCAGATTAATATTCTGAATTATATTTCAATCCCAGGGATACCAAATACAGTGTACCTTTGTCACCCAGGAGGGAGGAGACTGCTTTCTCTCCGTTCCTACGTGCTAACATAGTCATGTATGACCTGGATTTGTTCAGTATGAAATGCTGTATTCAAATATATACCTAATATTAATGTGTCCTGTTCCTGTTGAATTCTGTGAATTGTATGGGGAATTGTTACATGTGGAATAGATGTTTTTTATGGCACGCTCTGCATTCCTAGAACTCTAAATGGCCTAACAGGTCATGTGTGATGGCTGGACTGAGTTATTGTTTTACGATAGGGCAGAGGAAAGTGTCTTTGCCAAATAGACATCCTGCCAAGACTATGTAGTGGTTTACAACTCTGGAGATGGCCTCTATTTGTGTTTTATTTAAGATAAGAGGCTTGAAGTTTGTTACAACTCACAGCCACAAATTCCATTTTCAAGAGGAGGGGAGGAGGTGAGAAAGATGATTGTTCATTAAAAACAAAATGGTTGAGACCTTAACAAGATGGCTGTTGCATACAGCTTCCATGTCTCTATTGCGCATAATCATTACACCGATGACCACAGTTCGGCCCCCCAAACACCTGAAGGATAGTAAACTGGCCCTTGTTTAGAAAGTTTGGAGACCCCTGATATAAAGGACCAAAAAGGGCAGAGCCAAGCTTTGCATGTTCAATCAATATTTGCAGACCATAAAGCTCTGAGTCAGTCTGCTTCCGGACCCAGGTATACACTATGATTAGGGCAGTACTGAGTGCAACCTTGGCTCATAACCTGTGGGAAGCTTTAATGCATAAACCTATCTCAACCTTGACCAGGAACCAAAGGAGACTGGTAGGCATTGTCTCTCTGGCAGCTCATCAGATGTTGGCCAAAGCTTGGAGGAAACAGTTTCTCAATCATACCAAAGTCCAACGATGCCTCATGGCAATTATGGTGCATGAGAAGCTCACTTCCATTTTGAATAATACCCATGCCAAATTTTTGAGGGTCTGGGACCCATGGATCACATACAATGATATCTTGAACCTTGACTGCATCTTACTTTCAACCTGATGGGTCCTTTAGTAGCCCCATTTAATGCCATTATGACTTAACCCTGTAGGAATTGCCCATTTCCCCACTTCTTCCTCCTTCCTCCTCCTCTTCCTTTCCCACCCCCTCTTCTTCTTTTCTTCTATCCTTTTAGCTCTCTTTTGCCTCTGAGCCTCCTTTTGCTTTCCCATTTTTTTTATTTTTGCCTCCTGGTTTAACCGTTGGCATTGAGGCCATTTCTCTCACTTTTTTTTAGAGCTTACAGAAGCCACTCAAGAGGAGCAGACCCTGATGAGCAGGGCTGTTATCCTACTTTTGGAAAATCTTCCAATTTGTTGTACCCTATATTTATGTTGCTTCCATTGTACTGACCTCTTTTCTTTACTTGTTCTCTGTAAGCACTTAGCCATTTGCTCATACTTTGTCTAATATACCTTCCAATGTGATAATGTGCTGTCTAAAAACAAAAAATCTTTAATAAAATCCTTTGTAAAACAAAATAGATCTGAGCATCTCTGGGTCTACAGATCATGTTGATTCTCAGTGAAATCTTCACTGAAGGTTATGTTTGCTTAAAGTGTATGCATGACCAAAGCTATCATTTTACATTTTGGATATGGAAGTGCGGGTATAAAACTAATCTCAGTTTATTCTTTGGAGTATGTGTCCCCTTGGGGAGATGTTTCTTCACTTCCTGTCTTAGAGATGCAGCAAGAAAATATCTTCACATTAAAGTGTTAGTAAACTCAAGACCCTGCATTCACTATATCTGGTCTCCAACAGTACACAGAACATGAAAATGCAATTATTTTAGTAAACATAAACTGATAAATACCTTTTTGTCATCAGCAGTTAGAGCAGTTTTGTGACTTCTATCAGTCTTCAGCAGAGCACTGGTTAAAGCTTGTAAGAGGAGTTTTCTCTAGGAGGATGCAGAACCCTTGACCTCTGTCTGGGCAGTGCTGATTGGCCCTGTGCTGATCACATGCACTCCCCCTCCCAGAAAAAACTCTCTAGCATTACACACCAAATAGAGCATGTGCAGGGTGTCTTCACATGATATGTCTTATCAGGAGATAAGAGGGGAACACTGGAAGAAGGTGAGGATCAGAGAAGTCCAGATCAAACCGCTTTTTTACACAATGCAGAGGATTAACCCCTTAGGTTCCACGTGAATATAACAAGCATGCTTTACTGCATATACAGACTGATTTTCCTGTTGTGGGTTTAGTAACACTTTATGGGAAATCTCCTTTGCAGTTGCTATTAAAACAAGTAATCCCATTGAAAGATGAACCCTTACCTCTTTTTCTGTGACAGCTTTAAAATTTAGGATTTCTATCTTGCTAACAATAGTCACCAGGATAAACAGAGAGGGTGAATCTACTTAGTGGGGACACCAACAGCAATGAACATTTGACAGAAGTTGCAAATCCCCCCTACTGTATTGAAAAAAATGTGTTGGCTATACATACACATTACGCATGCTTTAAAGTTAAATTTAGTTTGAATTGGCATTTACTTTAGGGCACCCCTGTCTTGTTATAATTTAGATGGCATTCATTTTCCCAGTTCTGAAAACATTACGGTTTATGAAAAACAAAAGCTGCAAAGACTGCTGACTGGGCAAATTGTGGCAGTTTAGGCACCTGGAACAGTACATTGAAATGGCAGCTGTTGGAAATAGAAAAATATCAGGCAATATGCATAGAGGGCTTCCTGTGCCGCTGGGTCCCTGATTTGGATCACAATAGATTTTTATATCTGGGCTATAATTTATTCCTGACAAAAAACATTTTTCTCTAGAATTTTTCTTATGTTCTACTTTCCATGCTTAACATCTTAAATCTGAGAAATGTGGCCTCACATTTTCACATTAAAGAGGAACTCTGAACAGCAGGTTTCTAATGGCAGGACTGTTTTAATCTCTAAATGGGCTCAATTATGTGTGCTTTTTTCTGGATATGATATGGTTGCTATTATTCAGATTGGATAATCTTGTCAATTAGGCAACCAGAATATTTTGCTGTAGGGATTTGCCTGGTTTAAAAAAAACGAAAAAACTAGTACCTGAATTTATGCAATAATTTGAGTGATAAATCCTGGATTATTTTAATTGTTAAAGCAGAAATCAAGGAAAAAAATTCCCTTTCAGAGGGAATCCTTCAAATGTTCATTTACTCTTATGGTACCAATAAAAAGGACTTTTTTTTACCTTATCCCTTGTTCCCCTGGCATCCGGAGCTCAACCCTTCTTTCTAATGTGTTGTGGGGTGTCCCTCTGCACCCTCACATACAATGCAAGATTATTGGGTTGTTGTACTGGATGATGTCAAAGTGCCTGCGACAGACGGCGCACCTTACAGAAGAGACTTTGGAGGCTGGTCTTATAGCATGGGGAGAGCCTGTGGGAGCAAGGGATTAGGTAAATAAAGTTCCCTTTAACTTATGCCTTAGGCATAAACAAGCATTTAACCCTTCCAGTACAGGGGGAAACCCACTGCAAGGGATTTTTCTTCAATTCCCCCAGAATCCAGCTTTAAGTGCTTGGCCTCTCACATTACATAGTTACATAGTCTGGCTGAAAAAAGACAAAAGTCCATCCAGTTCAACCATTAAAAAAAAAAAGTTATAATCCTATACCCACAGTTGATCCAGAGGAAGGCAAAAAAAAACAGCAAAGCATGATCCAATTTGCTCCTGCTGTGCAAAAAAATTCCTTCCTGATCCCCCGAGAGGCAATCGCATATTCTCTGGATCAACCTTACCTATAAATGTTAGTATCCAGTTATATTCTGTGTATCCAAGAAAGTATCCAGGCCTTTTTTAAAGCAATCCACTGAGCTGTCCAGAACCAACTCTTGAGGGAGTCTAATCCACATTTTCACAGCTCTTACTGTTAAGAAACCTTTCCGTGTTTGGAGATTCAATCTCTTTTCCTCCAGATGTAAAGAGTGCCCCCTTGTCCTCTGGTGACCTCAGGGTGAATAACTCTACACCGAGTTCACTATATGAACCACTGATGTATTTATACATGTTGATCATATCCCCCCTTAATCTCCTCTTCTCAAGAGAGAATAAATTCAGTTCCTCTAATCTCTCCTCATAGCTGAGCTCCTCCATGCCTCGTATCAGTTTGGTTGCCCTTCTCTGTACTTTCTCCAGTTCGCCAATGTTCTTTTTGTGAATTGGTGCCCAAAACTGAACTGCATATTCCAGATGAGGTATTACTAAACATTACACATTACATTTGAACCTCTTGCATCTACACATTAGCAAAATGGCAAAATAGGCAATGTATACTTTCTTAGTATAACCAATGTGCATACATTGCTCATGATGGTATGTACAAATATGATAGCATATATTAGAGTTAAATCACTACACACACTACAACATATGCTCCAGCATCTGAATGCATGCTAGATCATGGAAAAACACAGAAAAAATCTGCTTGAAATTGGAAATAGCTTTACTACATCAGCTTTAATATACACTCACTGGTTATTTTATTAGGTACATCTGTTCAATTGCTTGGTAACACAAATTGCTAATCAGCCAATAACATGGCAGCAACGCATTTAGGCATGTAGAAGTGGTGATTACGACTTGCTGAAGTAAAAACTGAGCATCAGAATGGGGAAGAAAGGGGATTTAAGTGACTTTGAACGTGGCATCGTTGTTGGTGCCAGACGGGCTGGTCTGAGCATGTAAAAAACTGCTGATCTGCTGGGATTTTCATGCACAACTATCTCTTAGGTTTTTAGATAATGGTCTGAAAAAGAGAAAATATCCAGTGAGTGGCAGTTGTGTGGACGAAAATGCTTTGTTGATGTCAGAGGTCAGAGAAGAATGGGCCTTTGATTTCAGCTGCGACATTCAGATGGTAGAGTCAGAATTTGGCATAAAGAGCATGAAAGTATGGATACATCTTGCTTTGTATTAATGGTTCAGACTGCTGGTGGTGAGGCATTTGTGTGTACTGTATATAGGATAAGATAGAAAAGGATAGACTGTATTAATGATGTTTTTATATCTGTCTTCAGTTCAGCTTTAAAGATCTTGATGCTTCCTTGTTTTAGGCTCTGTAAGTTAAGGTGTGCAAATTTTGTCAAATTCATATATAGCTATATACTGCATGTTGCAATGCGTTTTTCATATATTACAACATATATGAAAAAAATATTTTTTAAAATATTTTTTTAAAATATATTCTTCAGATTTTTTTTGAACATATAAAAAAGTCATTTTAACATATCATTTTACATATATTTGTAAATGCACTCTCAAGATGTAGATTTGTATCTTTAAAGACATACAGTATATTTGAAAATATTTTTTTAAAAAATATTTTTCATATATTTTGTAATAAAAATGCATTTCAACATATAGTATATAGTGTATGTGTGTATGTGTGTGTATATATATATATATATATATATATATATATATATATATACTGTAGGTTTAGATTGGATACAGGTCTATTTACATATGTTTGTTTACACCCACCGCTCCATAGAGGGCAGTGTATGGTCCGATTGGGTCCACCTAAAAACGGACAGGTGGACCCCATCAGTCTGCCATTGTAAAAGGGCCCTAAGTGTTCCACTTTCTTCTTTTCTAGTACTGACTCACAGGGTGTAATCGGGGTAGGAAGTGAGAGAAAATGTACTAGCTGGGGACACAAAGAGCAATAAAAACCTGACAGAATGCCTAACCCTTATCCATTCTTCCTAAAGGTGTTTTATTACTGTATGAGATGTTTCTTTGCATTTCCTGTCAATTAAATAAAATGTGAAGGGAAATCTCTCCAAAAGGATTACAGATGACAATAAAAACTTGACAATGTGATATTTTATCTTTTTGTGCCCCGGGTAATCTATCCAATATACTGTGCCGTAAAGCAGTATTAAACCCAAAATAAAATATTTAATATATTGAAGCTTACCAATTCTTGGATGTGATGGTTGTATTAATTTCCTTTTTTTAGTCTTTCTTCTGTTTTCATCTGGTGAACCAGCCAGCAAGTCTGTTCCAGATCACCAGGTGAAAACAGAGGGAAAAAGCCAAAGAAAAGAAAACAGATGCAACCACCATATCTAATGATTGGTAAACTGCAATATAATGCATTTTTGATTTTGGGTTTAATACTGCTTTAGGCCTCATGTACACTGCTACTCCTAAATGTGAATTTAGGAGCTTTTGGAATTGTTTGCCAAAGCCCTTGAACTCGACTCAATAAAAGCCTATGGGCTTGATTTACTAAAGTTAAATATACTGTGCACTGTAACTGAGTGCAGTTGCTTTAGATCCGAGGGGAAGCTCTGAAATGACGCAAAGCCCTGCTGATTTCTTTCATTCAATTATGTGAAAACAAAAATGCTGTTTTTTAATTTTCCTTGCATGTTCCCCTCAGATCTAGAGAAAATGCACTTTCAGTGCACAGCCTATTTGCTTTTAGTAAATCGACCCCATAGACTTTTACCAGAGGTTAGGAGCAGCAGGGTTTAGGGGCAGGTAAAAGTTCCTCTCCTGAACGCAGAAGAATCATGTTCAGGCGAGGAATATTTTGGCCAAAAAAACACTACACACGGCAAAAACGTGTCGCGTTTAGTGCTTGGGCGTTTATCCATGTCAGTGGCCAATCAAATGAATAAATGTCCAAGTGCTAAATGCAGCTAAGCGTAGATAAACGCGGCTACACGCGTTACCGCATTTACACGCGTTTTTGCTTTGTTTAGCATTTTTCTGCTGCCAGGACAGCCTAACGTCTAGGGGACCATGTGTACATGGGGCTTAAAATGACTAGCTTGTGTGTAAGCTGGTGTGATTTTTATTATGTACACTCCGTACTCCTGCTATATTCCTCTCCCTTAGGATATGAATAAAGAGGCAGACTAACTGTAATACTTTAGAGATTTAACTTCACTGAATATACAGTCAAACATAGTTTCTATTATACAAATGTGCATGTGTGTTTTGATGCCTATCCTGTTCTCTGGTATTATACAAGATACAACTTTATCTGCTGTTATTTGAAGATATATGTCACTACCTTGTTGTGTTACCCAGTCGTGTATTTTATGACTACACTCCTTATATGTAAAATATTGGTCCATAATATGTATCTTAATAAATGTATTTTTAAAAAATGGTGACGTTCTAACCCTTTTCCTTTACTATCCACACAAATAAAGCAGTTTGGCTGTAGCTGGTATTTGACTTCAT